TGTAACTTCTATTTCTTTAGGTTATTTGTTATTAATTCATTTCATTAATTAAGGTTTTTAAATTCTTCAACAAGTGTTAGTTGGGATGGGGATAAATGATTTAGCAATATTAATTAATTTCTAAATTATTACTATTGAGAACAAAGTGCTTCCCAGTTCTATACTCATAGTGCAATATTTGTACAATTGATCTACCATAATGCATTGAGATGTTTTTAAAGAATGCTAAGAATACATGTTTTGTTTGAACTCTTATAAAAATGTCTTAAACTCTAACGGATGATATTTTATAACAAGATTTACGATTTTTTTAGTATTAGGGGGAGGAATTAAGAAGTTGAAAAATTATATTCATAATGCATCACTATATTTTTTAGATTCTCGAAAACGATAATTCAAATCAGAAATTCGAAAGATAATTCATTTAAATACATTTAGGGTGTGTTTATAATTCATTTAAATGCATTTAGGGTGTGTTTGTCTCCCATTATTGAGAGAAAAATAGAGTAATGAATAATATTTTTTAGAGAATGTGTGGTTGAAATTTAAAATAATTTTATTGGTTTGTGTGTAGAATATTTTATTGGGTGAATGTGTGATGAAGAATCCTACTGTAGCAAACAATTTTTTGAAATAATGGTAAACAAACATGAGCTTAATAATCAAAGAGATCAACAATATCTCACATATCAATTTTAAATGCTTAAATATAATGGACGTCATGGGAGGACAATTCGTTAACATTATATTTGATATATTTAAGGCATGTGTGAAGCATGAATACATTCAATTCTAATACAAAAAATCTTCAAAAGAAAATTGAGCGAATGAGAATGATGATCCCATTTAGGAGGCATATACTCTCGGAAAACATATAAACATAACTAATTATAAAACCTCAGAAGAGGTTCAACTATTTGAAACATTGAAAGTAAAGATATCTCAGTAAGTTATCCAATTATAAGAAAAAAATAGAATTGAAAAGAAAAAGTTGTCGACAATTTATTTTGCGCATGATGTATCGTATCATATTTTGAATAGCGACGAATTGAAATGAATTTGTTGAAACATATCGATCGAAGAAATTGTTGTTCCAATAAAATTATGCAATCCTAGTAAAATTAAATTTACTAGAGAAACTTGATTACTTGAAGTTTCTGGACATGCAGTCATAAAATTTGAAGGTGTATACTTATGCTAAAAGTAAATGAGAAAGATGAAAGTATCATGAAATGCACGACTCTGAACATAATAAAATTTTGTGAAGACCGCATTGAATGCAATCACAAGTTCATACCTTGTTATCCAAACAATGTATGAAATTTGAAATGCAGTTATAATTTACTCATTTGGCATGATTATTAATATTATCATTGAATGATTTAATATAACTAAAATATATAAATCAAATGATATTATCAAGAGAGTGAGTAAATACGTGTGTTGTAAAATTATGAGATAATTATTGATGGTTATTTAGCCTTATCATGGTACATAGATAAGTCGTATGTACTTTAGAAGAGTCTATTCTACTATACTTGTAAGTCTCATTAGGAACCTATACATATTGAATCTTGATTCTCAATAAAATACACACTGAATCTTGACTTTCTACTCTTCTCTTATATTTCTCTCTTGTCCTTTGATTTTATAACAGGTACTAATAACATTAATCTTATTATACTTAAAAGCAATACCATCGTCTAGCTGTACATATGAATATGAATATGTTGATTTCGATATTAGAGTTCATTTGATAGACAAAGATGAAAAGAAATTCCAATTCCATGTCAATTGGAAAAATTGGAAAATAAAAACCTACCAAACCCAAGAAGTTCGTTCTCTAAGAAAACAAAAAAAATGCAGCTTAAAGTGGTTGTACTTTGAAACTCGATTTCCATTTCCACGTTGCAATCAAACAGCCAAAGTTGAATTCGTTTTCCTCGAATGTGATATTTTTTTATGGAAAATGTTACAATCAAACGTGGCCTTAGTATAAAATGTGGAAGGAATTAAAAAACTAAAACGCGGTCGATCGATTAATAAAGGAGCAATCTTTTGCACTGTGTAAAATTGAACAAGTCAAATTATGTCATGTACAATTGAGGTAGACGTCCAATCCATTCTTTCTTTCTTTCTTACTTTTTTATAAACAGCGTCGAATCCCAAACAATCTATAAAAAAAGGATAAGAAAAATTAAAAAGCCAAATTAAGAGTATGATGTTGGATTGTACGTACAAGATGAAAAAAATTAATGGCATGATAAATTCTTGTTTTATTGAATTGGCTAGGATAAAAATTGTAATTATGGAGAAATGACAATTAATTTACGGCGTATCCATCTCCAATATAATTTATAAAATTAATGTATATTTATGTATGACTCGGACAACAAACATTCCCCACCTGAATGATTAAATGTCAATGTTTTGAAAATTGATCGAATATTGACCTGAAAAATGAAAAAAAAAAATCTACACTATAAAAATAATTCTTGACATTGACATAAAAATTATTTTTTAAATGTCAAGTATTCTATAAAAAGATGTCAAGTATTCTATAAAAAGATGTCAAATTAGAGCCGACCCGATTATTAAAATAATTAAATAAACTAATTCTTTTTTAAATATCTATACTATAAAAAATTATGCTCAGAGTGTTTTAAGACTCGTTATTTGATATTTTTTAGTTTTTTTATAATCATTTCTTCAAACAAAACTTTAAATGGGTCCAAATGAAGGCTATAACCCTTGACATAAATTTAAGTAGAATTTACACAACAACAAGTGTTTAAAGATTACACTTTAAAATCAGATATGACGTTTATTTGTTCACTTTTCAGGTATTTAATATATTAGTTAAATATTATATATTTTAATTAATTGAAGAGCGTATCCCGTAAATTAAGTATTTCAAATTTAGGATTATCTTCACTTGCTTTATTTTTGAAACTCTCATTCTTCTTACGCATAACCTCCGTATCCTCCACGACTCCACGATTCTTCTACACTCGCGTTCATAGATCTCCATGTTCTGGTAACTTCAACCATGTATTATCATCCTCAACCGTACATTATCCTCCGTCGATTATAAAAACTTATTTTATTTATTGTTTGAAAGTTGGAACAATCCCAAACCGAAGTATAATGACTAGATTGAATAGTGGAAATATGGGAAAGAAAATAGAGGAGACACCAGATGGAAGTCAAAGAAAGCCAGAGGAATGCCCTAAAGAAACTCCATCAAAAGACAAAAATCGTCTGGATCAAGCGTCCTCAAACAAGGTATTTTCAATTTTTTGTTCATTTGAGTTATATGTATGTAATCCAAATTTGATGAGTAACAAGTATTGCAAATGTATTAGACATTTGTGACCTTTATTCGATTCAATTTTAGTAGCGAAGGAAATGGATGAGGATTTCCATTTGAAAGTGTTACTTTATATAAATTGATATTTTTTTATTAATAAATGATTTGTGACCTACAATAGGCTGTATGTGACCTGGCAATCCAATCATGACCATTGTTTTTATGGATACATGACATGAATGCATACCATTCTCTGCATTTGTGACCTTATTTACATGATTATATACAATTATATGTATTCGTGACCTAATTTACTTTTCTTTTCCAATATGTAACCTGATTGTCTACCATTATATGTATTTGTGACTTAAATTACTTGATTTTCTAAGATTCTACATGTTTATGACCTTATTTAGTTTATAAATGAGACTTGATTGAAAACCATTATTTGTGACCAGATTTGCAGTCTTGTCTATCATTATCTGTATATGAGATCTCGTTTATTGTACCATTCCAAATTTTATTTTAGCATTGTTTTCATCTAAACACATGATGCAAGTGTGGGACTTCATAATACCACAAGATGGTTTCCTAGAAAAACTACAATTACCACGACGAAGGTGTTCTGACAAACCCCAAAACATATCTAAGTGAAAACCAACAACATATAGGAACATGGTTTGAGCACTTTCTGGAATGATATGAAATTGTGGTCCAACGAATCTAATTGCATGGAATTGAGGGTGATGATTGATAGTAGTCTTCTGCAACAGAATAATGGATAAGTTTGTGACCAATATTTCAAAATATACACCAGTTAAATAAATTTCATTCTTCATAAGTTGTTTTGTGTTGTTCTTCATCCATGATTGCGGTATATTCGTGATTAAATACATTGAATACATGCTCCATGCCGATAGAAAGTCCATGCCAAAGAAATTGGATGCTGGTAGGATTAGGATGGATATAGCCACACTTTCTATAAACATCGAGAAATTAGGAAGTCTACAAAGCGGGCAAGCCTACAAAGGAAGAGGAGATTGTCATAGAGTGATAGTTGAAAATGCATTTGAAAATCAAGATGATGAAGGGATTTGTAAAGTTATGAATGCTGGCCTCATTTTATCTGTCCTTGTTAATATTGTACATGATGGAACTAAATATAATGAATATAAAACTATGGTTGTACATTGAGATATTGAAAAATTGTTCAACTTAGCATTTGAGCATATGTTTGGAAAGTTAAATTACTCTGGTGTCTTGTTTTATTTTCATTTGATAAATGTAACAAGTTTTTGATACAATTGCACAATTTATCTACATAGGTCACAAATTAAAATACATTGGTAACACATTTCTGTTATTAGATCACAAATTATACTACACAGGACACATATTACACTTCTCAAGTCACTGCATATTTTAATCAGCACAGGTCACACGTAACTGCGTAGGTTACAGATTGTTATTAAATGGTTACTAGGCTACTCAGTTTTGAACTAACACATATAGCTCATTCATGTTTATAAGTCATAAATTATGCTATGTAATTTATTACACATAGTCCAATGCAGTGATCACATATTGTTGTCATTAGGTCACATAGCATACTATGCAGGTCAGTTTATTTTGTACGGCTCACAAGTTGTATAGTTCTCTATCCATAGGTCATGATCTATTGAATTGGTCACATGTTACAATATCAAATCACATAGCCCATGTTTG